TGAACTAATACTTGTAGTTAACTGAATTTTCTTGTAAGGACAACATCGACGACATGCTCGAGCACATTCATCAGTTTTGCACGTGCGCGAATAGTTCAGTCAGCGAAGCAACAGTTAGCAACGAACTGAAAAGACATTAGTTTGCAAGAACCAATTTAGCACTTGCGAATAGGTCACGTGAGTAGGTTTGCGCAAAACAGTATTTTTGCACATGCACAAAAGCTAGCAGAGCAAACCAACACGTGCGCAAAAATAGTCAAACTGAGATGGACCGTAGTTCACTTATGTAATATTTACACTAATTTTTTAGAAGGCAGCCTTTAATAAGAATGAAACCAAATAAATCCTCGAGTAAATATATAGATTAATTAGTATCCAGGAAGTCTAAAGCTACACTGAATCGGGCAACAAAAACGAGCAACTTCGTTTAGCATGATTAAAAAGCGATGTTGCTCGTTTTACCACTAATCTTCAAATCTATCTTGGAGCAAATCAGGTTTTTGTAAGTTGCGTGAATACTGACTTCTCACGGGATAAAATTACGTGGGGGTCACGCCTAGCCTGAGTACAGACGTCCCCCCTCCCTAAGAAAAAAATGAGGGAGGGGGGATGTCTGTACACAGGCTACGTCACGCCATACATGGACCGGTTTGGGAGTTGCGCTACCCAGGCTGAAAAAACAAGTTTACCTTGGACCGTCATAAGTTATGGGCACCTGGTATCCAGCAAGTTCAATTTCTCGCCCCTTTCTTTCTTGCGTTCATTACTTGCAAGCGCAGCCTATATCTTGATAATTGCGCAAGAGTGTCTAGATTTAAAAAGTATCAAGGCTCTTGAAAGTATACAAGAAAGCCTTATATAACGCTGCAAAAAATACACATAGAAGCAGTGTGCATAAGAGCCACGTGGCTACGCTGACGTTCTTAGAACTACCTTCTTTCTGTTCTTGGGGAACAAACGCGTGACCACGCCCTAAGAAGGTCAGCGTTGGAAGCTCGGACGACTTCCTCTCAGGACCTCTCTCTCACAAATGTCAAGAACAGTCGATTGGGATTAGACTAAAAAGTCTCTTGCTTTTCTTAGTACGTCGAACGAAACGTGCGACACCCGAAAACGACCATGCGCGTGATGACTGGGTTGCTGCCCTCCTTTCTCGCGAGAGACAGCTCGCAATCTAGGTTGGGATCGATTGAGCGTCCCTCAGCACCTGAGGGCGTGGCTAAAGCGTTGAGCAAATTACGTATCGGCCGAGAACGTGCCATTTTTAAAATAAGGGAACTTTAATATGCAGCAGCTAAAAAGTAATATCTAATTAATCTTTTTGCTGCATTACGAATAAACAACAGACAATGCGACTTTGTGCATTGGGTCATAAAGGTAAATTAAACAAAGAAAGTTGTCTCAATCTTATCTCATCCCATGGTCAGCTGGCCTGTGTGTTGTTTCTATAAATTTGCCCACCCGGGTTAGCCAGCTTATATGGTCAGCGAGGTCATTCTGACTGTCGATGAATGATTGAAATGCAAAACAAACATACCGATATAGGTATAACATAAACATCAACATCAAAGTAATAATAGGAAATTTCACTTTGACACTTAAAAAAGTAAAGCGGTAAAACTTTATTCTGTCTTTGAAGAACTTCAACTAAAATGGGTCCTAAAAAGCATATAAGACGTGATTGCGGAATACAGCCTGTACTGCTACCGCAATTAATTAAATGATCCCGGATAATGTGCGCAGCATTTACGGCACTGACGTGAACCAAACTCTCTCAGACTATAAGATCTTGGTGCCTAATGACCTGCGATCACACGAACAGGGGGAGGCTAAGAGCAAATTCAAGATTTCTTGCCCCCGCCGTGATCGTGCTTATTTTACAACTTAGTTAAAATAACAAATACAGGATACAGTCAACCGTCTTTCTTGACAGTTATCAAAAGGAAAAAACCCTCAGACCGACCAACCTCGTCCCCAGGGCTNCCGTGATCGTGCTTATTTTACAACTTAGTTAAAATAACAAATACAGGATACAGTCAACCGTCTTTCTTGACAGTTATCAAAAGGAAAAAACCCTCAGACCGACCAACCTCGTCCCCAGGGCTTTTCCCGTAAAAATGGGAATTTTTTAAAGGAAAAGCCCTGGGGACGAGATTGCAGACGAACCGGGGGGGGGGCACTCAACAAAGTTTTGTTCTGGTACGCTCAGCCCTGAAGTCCAACTTCTTACTCTGTTACATACCATTTTTGAGCGAAAAGGACCATTTTAGTAAAACTTCTATTGACGGCAAAAGCAGTGTACCCCTTTCAAATACCTACGTACAAACACTGTATCCTCTATAATTGCTCTAACTGTCTTTTAATTATATTAATTGCTGAAACATTAAGTCTTTTTGCCTTATTTAGAGCCGTAAAATGCGTTTTTTTTTAACTGACCTTAATGAAAAGCAATTACACAGCAGAAATGACAGATTCCCCTACTTTTTCATATACTTCAACTCCAGAAATCCCTACCCCTTAATAAAGTCTATATACAGTTAAGCCCCGGAACCCGGAAGCCCCAAAAAAGAGCTCATTTCGGGCGGAGCCCTCTGTTTAGGCCATTATAGGGAGTACATCCCCAGACAGACGGACACTTATTGCTGGTCATAGGGGTGTTCATCTAGGTATCAAGAGCCTGGCGCTGCGTTAGGCTCCAGCTCATTCTCTCGTGTTGCGGTATATTCTATATTTCAGAATACCCAGATATTATAACTCATGCCGTTTTCCGCTCTATTGGTGTTTCTGAACCATGGAACAAGAACTCAACCTTTCACCTGTTAAACTGATTGCAGTTTTCTAAGATTGAAGAAGCACGGGTAGACTTACCACAACGCGCCTGCGTGAGCGCCGAAGGCGTGAGGGACGCTCGCGAAGCGAGCGTAAGCGAGTGACGAAGTCGCGAGACGAGCGACGTAAGTCGCACCACGTAGCCAGATGGGCTTTAAAGGAGCTGTGTCACGAAATTCAGCCAAATTAGGTTATTGCAAAATGTTCGTTAAAATAAAAGAAACATAAAAATAACCGCTTAAAACGTTAAACGAAGGTTAAAATAACACAACAGATACAACAGCTGCCACGGATGACCAAAACTGAAGAAAATTGAAACGGATTGAAACTGTTCAGCCTAACAGTTTTTCAAAGTTTAGCTCTGCTGTTTGCAGCTTCAAAAATAATGCTCGGGGGACATATTTGTTTGTCTCTAATCTCTGATTTGTCATTTACATGTGATTTCTTTGCCTACTTTCAGTTCCACAGCGATTGAGGGCGAGTAATTGGCAATTAAAACAAAATGAACTGGACTGCCGTGACACAGGATGTACATATACTTACACATTGCCACTTACACAATATCCCCCGAATATGATTTCAAATGACCTGAGCTAGAGTGTAAGTGTTTTGTCAAGCTATCGGGATCGATCATCAGGAACGGTTTAGGTCTACGGTATTGTTAGCCTGTTCCAGGCTCTCAGATAGTGGGGAAGACGCGAAAGTAAAAAGCACGCGAAAAGTTGGCGGGGCGTTTTATTTTCGTCTTCGCGCTTTCTCAATTCAGCGGGCCCGACTATCTCGGAGCCTGGAAGAGGCTACGGGATAGTGGGCATTTTATCTTTTGTGGAACATACAGGCCAGGGGATCTTTGTTGTCATGTAAGAATCGAAGTACAAGGCTAGTCTCACCTTGCGGACACCTCGCTATTACGGACACCCCGCTAATACGGAGAGCTGCTAAATCCCCGTCGAAAATTACAGACATTTGACTGAAACAAACTCGCGCTATTACAGACTTCGACTCGCGCTATTACGGACTACGGACACCTTTGTACCTTTGTATCCCGTAGGGAACCCGATAATTTTAGGACTCTGTTTGATTTTTAAAAAAGAGGAAAGTAAACACTCTCTTGTTTCAGATATGGTCCTGGTTGCCGCATAAGACCGTGGGAAACATTATGAAACATTTCAGTCTGGATAGGAGGCCCTGGTCTGAATAACGGTATTGTAAATACTGTATTAACCGTGTTGAAATACAACAATGACATACAATTTTAGAACCCCTGTCTGGGTGAGAGCTGTCTGGTTCGCATTTTAATTTGGTTAGACTGCTTGTTGCCCGCCTTTTCTCTTTAAATCCGTCTAGTTCTTATCTCAGCCAGCGCGACTGCAAACCACGCCGTTAGGCTTCGCCGCGCCGCTTGGTTTCGCGTACAGTAACTTTGCAAAGAAAAATAAGAGTCTGCTCGTATCCCCCGGGGGGGGTTACTCGATATATCCCTGGGTGGGGAAGGTGCGGCGCGGCCCCTCATACCCTGACCCTGTTTAAGACAAATATCGCTGATTTTCCTACCCTGTTTAAGACAGAATTCCGATTTTTGATACCCTGTTTAAGACATTTATCCTGTTTAAGACAAAAATTAATAAATCGATACCCTGATTAAGACAAAAAATGGTAAATTCGATACCCTGTCTAAGACAAAAATCCCGAAAAACATACCCTGGCAGGCCGCACGTCCCCATAAAGCCCTTATAAGGGAGTACCCCCCCCTGCTCTCCCCCTTCCCCCTGAGTTCCCTTAATCTAAAGACGAAAGGAACCTGATCTCAGGTTAAAGGCACAGAGGAACTTCACCACACAGAGCCTTGCTTCTCCTACTCAGTGTCTGCTATATAAGGCAGCAGATGCCCTGTGTGACGCTGATGCGATTCAGTAGTCTGAGTAGTAGTACTGTGTATGTTGTAGAGACGACAATTTGCGCACAGCTCCTCACCAGATGTAGTGTGTCCCAAGGAAAGTGTTGAAAGCTGCATAGAGCTGGAATTTCAAGTAGAATGATATGCACTTTGAAAATATAACAGTATCCCTTCTAATTTATACTGTAACTGCGGGATTGGCCCCAAATCAAGAGTGTTTTCACGTTTACGTGCTATACCAGCGGAAGTGGCGCATTTCTAATTCTATGAAGGCATGATGAAATGTTTACAGCCTGACCTTATGTTGCAGAGACTCGTATTTCTTCTGGCTACAGTCAGAGTTACAGAAGGTGAGTGAGAAATTCTAAAATTGATAGTCGACCAGTTGGCGGATGCATGTGCTCAGTCAAACAAACTAATAATCAGGGAATGTCAGTATATCTCAGTCATCTTAATCAAGACCCATATACTCGATAAGTGGGCTACAGGACGTCATTGCATTTAGTATGTAGAAATGACTGACTGCCATTGAGACACAAGCACATCCACAGGGCCTACTTGTTAGGAAGACTAAAACTACAGGGCCAGTTGTTCGCATTACCGAGCGAGGCCTCGTTACCAAAGACACTAAAGGAAAAATTGTAAGTATCGAGTGAGGGATTTGTTATAGAGGGGGTCATATAGGTTTCTGCACGGAGAGGTGCAAATGTTATTCTTTTTGCGAGGTAGTAACGGCATTGAGTTCAAAAAGGGTTGATCACAAATATTCCGCTATGTAATCCGAGATTGTTAGTTTTTTTTATACAGTATTAATTTACCCGCAACAGCTTTGAAAACTCAATGGCTTTGCGGTTTTTATAAGTAAGTCAGTAGTGCGAAAAACAAATACCAAATGTCATTTTTCAAGCAATCTGGAACTGAAGACCGCCGAAGTCTATGCAAGCTTTGCATTTACAATGATCACTCTTTACCTCAAATACTTCATCCGGAAACTCCCAAAAATTGAAACCCCAAGCTAACTAAGTGGAGATAGGTCTCCTAATTGAAGCACATTCACTATTTATTCACTGACTTTTCAGCTGATGTCCATTATGAGCTGAATCCTTAGAGTCTGGTCAAATGTCATTTTCTGCATTTTCCCACGATCTTTGCCCACTGTTTTATTTTCTGGTTCTTTATCCGCCTAAACCAACTGGAGCGCAGAATCTTAATTTCCCGAATCGTGTGAAACTGGCCATAAGATTGATATTTAGTCAAACGAAAACAAATCAAACCTACTTTTCTGTTTTCAAAACATTCTAAAAGAAACAAAATACACCCTGAGTTCATAACTGTGTAAGGAACGGAAGTTTTCCATTTATCTGTTTATTTATCTATCATAAATGCAAGAGTTTCCCTTCGCGCTAATTATAAAAATAAATATATCTCATGATATTTTTTGGTCATCGACAGTAATAATGATAGTTCTGGGAAGGAATATAACTCATTGCGGATTCTATGACATAGGTTGTGTTACTCAGATGTTAAACAAATTGTAAAAGTTTTGGTGTGTCATTTATTACACGTTTTGTTTAGTACCACCGGATGATAATTATTTTTCTTGTAATAAGTACCTATAGCCTGCATTGTTTTTGCAAATGGAGATTTTATCCTGTGCAGTTCTTTTTTATGGATTAACAGAAATGAAGCTAGAAAACTAGCCTGCGTAGCACAACTTCCAAGCGCCTGCTACGGCCACTAGAAAACAAATCATGATAATCTTTTTATAGTATATTGCATTATCCAAATCCGCAAAGGCTTAAGTGACGGAAACGTAGGATCTATGTGTACAGAATGCCAAGAACGACATATTTCTTTACGTAATGACTTTGTATGAAGAGCTTTGAGGGTGCGTTCTTTGAAGTAACGTACTAGGATTTAGCAGTCTCTGGGATCATGGTGGCCCAGGCGCACCAAAGGTACTGCCGCTACCCTGTGAATACTTGTTCAGATGGGATAAAGCTGTCCCTTTGATGTACCATGATCAGAGTGACCCTGGATCTTAATTCTGATCAGGAACATTCCAAGAAATGCACTGTCTCAATCCTGAAATCAGCGTAAAAAAGAGAACGAAACAGCTTCCCATGTAGTCTTAAAAATGAAACGGCCGTATTTTTTTTGTGTGTGTGTGTGTGTGTGTCGAGAACGAAATTAAACTGGAAAACAAAGCAAAAATAAGCAGGCGAGGCAAAAGCAGGAGGAATAGCGACTTTATCAGCTCTCTGAGAGCTATCAGATGGCTTGCTGGATGTTATAAAGACTCAGATAGTGATACCGCTATTGATCTGACAAGAATTGATGATATATAGCTAAAATCAGAGATATTAATTGACTCGGTTAGGTGCCTCATTCGTTAAGGACTCCAGCTGGAAATTGATAAACTTGTATATCATTTGAGAATGTTAAATGTTCAGATTATACACTTTTTTTCTAACGTATTTGATTTGGCACGATTCCCCTTGTTGAAGGGACTGCTTGACAGCTTTAATTTGTGATGACAATAGTTTACATATCGCCCACCTTTTGTCTACGATGATACGTGTATCGCTTTTGAACTGTCTTGAGGGTTGATAACTGGACATATCAGACCTATTGTAAATAAAGATTTGGTGCGTGAGGCCATTGTAGGAGCGGCGTGAGCTGATAAGAGATCACTGTGTTTTTCATTAAATTGTAATAAAAAAATTTGCTTGTTTATTTTGTGGACACGTTATTAGCGTTTTGAGCTAGAAAGGTGTCCTTTCTGTAATTATTATTGAAAACTATAAAACCGCTAATTTATTTCCTCCACGGGAGACAGTTTTCGAACAATACCGCTCATTACCGCTTAGTGCATAATGCAATCGAAAGATACACGACAACTTTTTTTTACATCTGCCATTATCGGAAGGAAGTCGTAAGCTTCCTGAGCTTCTGTAACCAAACCGACTTGTTAAATAGTTTTTGCTCACGCTGGTTAACATAAAACCCCGGGTGGTACTTCTGGGAATTCGTGGTGAGGGTGTACTGCATAGTAGTCTAAATTCTTACCCTATTTCAGACAAAACTGAAAAATACTATTTTCCATAACCATTTCCGTACCCGTTATTACTCTTTCTTTCCTATTCATTTGGAGTTGAAATGACGATTATAAAAATACACTCTCGTAGTTCTCTCGAAAATCATCCCCGATTTCAGAATCAAAAGCACATACATATGTGGCTCAACTCACGGATTACCGCCTGAGACATAAAAGAATCCAAGAAGAAAGAGTTTAAACACTTTGGTCTTTGTCGATGAAACAGATTAATCAGCATTAGTTTGTTTTGACTTGTAATTTTTGATAATGCCTTTTCAATAGCAAAGATAATCTTCATGCTTCAAGAGTGCAAGAATACCAAGAATGTTGATTTTGTATAAAAGTTAGCGCTTTCGCAATTCCTTAGTAACATAAATAGTAGCTGATGTATTTGTTTTCCACTTAATCCGAGATTCACAGAACGCCATTTTGGATCTCCATTACCAACTCCCATGAGAGTAATTTGCGTTTACAGTACAAACTATTAAGCATCTTGCCAATATGGCTAAAATTATGTTTTTATACATGATTAGAAGTATTCATTTATTTGACTATCAAACAATGGCTTTTAGCCTTTTGAATTATAATCAAGTTTCGTGATTGGACAAACTTTGGCGGTCATGCTAATTTCAACCATTCATAAAAGACTACTCACTCATAACGCGCCCACGTGACCAGACTGTCAACGAAGGAATGTAATTGACATCGAAGAGGTTACGCGCGAGACCGCATAGAGGTTCAAAGCATGCAGCATAAAAATATCCTTGATCTGTCGCGTGGATTAGCGAGAAGAGAAGATGATCAGCTGTTCCACGTGTAGTGTTAGAGAGATGGATATGTAGTCATTTGCAAAATCCGGTTGTCAATTTGAGTTCTCCAAAAACTCTGTGATTTCTATTGCTATGCTCCTCTGCAAAGTACTCTTGTTGTTTGGACTTGCTCAGTTTCTAGGTAAATTTTTCCCGGTTATATGTTGTCTCTTTGCGTTATCGTTTTGAACTTCCTTTAAACCCCCTCTATATATTTTTGTCTTGCTGTTGAATGTTTGAGTCTTTCAGGGTTTGATCCTGGTTATTTTTTATCGTTAGGTGTTGCAGTTAGTGCATTTAGGCTGACCAAAAGCAAAGACGTAGTGCAAGTGAATGTACGACAAAATGCCTCTCTACAATGGAACTACGAGGTCGATGCGGGAGAAAGTTATTCTATTGTATGGGGAACCAGCCGAGATGGAGTAAATGTCCAGGATAAATTGTATACGAGAATAAAAGGACAAACAGCACAACGTTCGGCGCAAATGCCGACAAAGTTTGTTGACAGGGTGAAAATCATAAAGCAAGCCACTTTATTCATACAGCGCGTCGATTTGTCAGATGAAGGTTATTACATGTGTCAGATCAGCGGAGAGTTCCTTACAAACAGGGAACCGATTAGACTTGAAGTGATAGGTGAGTGTAAAATTTTAATTTTCGTTTTCTTTGAATTGCGTGCAAAGCCGAGTGCAATCCGTTTTAGCTATAAAGCAATTTATGTACGCAACGATCAAGGTCGCGGGCCTAACTGCACCCTATTTGCGTATTATATAGAGCGTTTAATTGCGCTCTTCAGAGCACTTTTGCAGCTTTTAGTAAATATTATTTACCATATATAAGGTAATGAATGCTTTTATCGTGCTTTCTGAATATTTTGTTCAAACAAAGCAACCGAGAAGCCTTCCAGATTTTTTTGGATGCGGTTAATTCGGTTTGGACGTGAAAGCTAACTTGATCGAGATCAACGAAGATCAGATGAAGATAAAACTGATCTCGCAGAAAATCTGTTACCTGAGGGAAAGCTTAGGCATAAACAATGCGATCAAGGAACTCTCTTAAAACCACTATTCCATTGCCACGATGTTCTTTGGCGCACGTAGTTGTTCGAAAAATCTAAGACAGTGTTTGTTTCAGCGAACAGTGTCTTCCTTACTAATACCTCTCGTCTTAATGTTCGGACGATTTTGGCATTTAATTTTGTGTCAACATGTAACAGAACATAAGTTATTTATCTGGGCCCGATTTCTTTAGCTTGGCGTTAGATTACCAGCATAATTGTTACCCAACAGATTAACAATATGAAATCGAAAAATCGTGTTTAAAAAAAGTCGGTCGAGCGGAATTTCCAATCAAGTATCACATTAAGACAGGACATTACAAATAGCAAATTTTGGGAAACAAGAGTTCTCCAAGCTTCTGTTGTTTACATTCATATCAGATCAAATTGTTTAGGTTTATAGTTGCATTACCCTAGCGATGTAAATATAGTAATTCGCCGTACGTAAGATCTAGCGGACAATTTCTCTCTCTAATATTAGTAATGTTTTTTTGTAATCTATCTTTATTATCCCGGTGTATAATTCAAATATTCTAAGACAAGATTATTCTGTCGCGGTAACGTGGAAAACGAGGGCCAATATTTTTTACGTGCTCTTTTATTCCGAGCAGAAAAGATGCGCCCACAACACTTGAATAGTTTGCTATTGTTCCGTTTAAATTTATGTCACCCACGTACATTTGAGGCGTAACTTTTCTGTGGGTTGGAAAATCATTAGATGAGAAGTGTTTCAAATGAAAATGTCAAAACCCACTTAGGAAGATATTCATTTTGGTAGTAGCTTGTAATGAGGGGAGACGGTGCAAAATTAATTTGTAATGAAACGATAAGAAGTCAAATGGCGAGCACTTTTTGTTCGCAGACATTTGGGACTTTAAAATGTGATAAACTAGAGGATTAATGTTTGTTCGTGACTTTTTTTAATACAGATCGCGAAGGACGCAAGAAACAGCCCTGTAGGTTTTCACCTCACACAGTGCAAAACAAAGCCCTTGCGACCAAATCTCACGTGTAGGGCATTTTAGGAATGGCTTTACACTGACTCACTTCTTTATTTTAAAGGAAACCGAAATTGGACATTTAAAAAACCCAAGGATGGGGCTATTACCATTGGTCTGAGGGTTTTGTTTTGTCTTTACCGGAAATTTGAACTATTTTAATGACTGGTTGTCTTTTCTTTTTGAAGAACTTTCAGTGGTTAATTTTTCATGAGACAGCTGGCAGAAGTGATAATACCACCCCTAGTGGGTATTTTGTTGACAACCTGAAAATTATTTGTCAGTCTGAATAATATATTTTTAGAGAAGGTACTAGTTCTGTTAAAGTGACGTCTAAAATTGTTTCCTATTGGGACCGATTTCAACAACAACTGGATAGTTTGGGTTTTTTATTAACTTTCCTACTCTTGAGACCTCAGTGTACATTTATAAAACTTTTAAATTTGCTTTTAGTTATTGAGTGTAATTTTAATGTTTTTTTTTTAAACATTTTTACTGAATTTCAACATTGGTTATGGGAAATGAAATTTATTTTATTTATTTGACATATTTTAAAGTTAAAACCTGACCGACATTACATTGGCATTTTGTGACTACATATATCAGACAAATCTACTTTATTGAAACAGCACATTAAATTTGAAATATTCTGAGTACACATTTGGGATCTCACTGACTTTGTGTTTGTAAATCTCAGAATATTCAGTTTCACATGTTAATTGTATCTACATATTTAATTTAAAAAAGGGAGATAGAAATGGATCATTTGTGGCAAATAAATGTGGCTAAACTCTTAATAATAATATATTCTGGTTTGCCTAAAGATATGTTCTTTCCATTTGACAGAATATTTGCAAGTTTTAAAGCAAAACAAAACCTTGTGTAAAATATATTTTACTTGGTGATTATTTGGAAAGTTTTCGTGACATTCACATAGAGTCAATAACTAATCATCAGTTTGATAGCCTGGCTTGTGAAAACTAAGAAATGGGTTTCTTGCTTCTAATGTGTGTCACATACCTTTATAATTAAAAAAGAAGAGTTAAGCTGACGGTAAAAAGTATAGGGACAAATCATGCCGTGACAAGTTGTACTTTAAATTTCTGAATTAATTGTTAGGAAAATTTAGCACCCAAAATTGTAGAACAGTTTTACTGATTGACATTAACTAATGTTACAAGGTGACCTTAAATGCCTAACTCTTATGTAAATTATGAAGTAGGTGCTCAAAATGTGTTTAATTATGAATAGGCATCCCTCACGTACATACAGTGACATCATAGCTATTTCATAAATGGTGAAAATGACACCCACTGTGAAAATTAGTGCATGGAAATATATCAAGTTCTAGCCTCCAGCCAAGCGTATTTTTCCATTGTTTAGTTCATTCTCTTTTCATAAAATTGAACTATGTAAATATATAGTCCCTTATTATTGTAGGCTGCAATATGGTGAGAAATAGATCACATGCTATTTAATTTTTATCTTTGACTGCCTTTCTTTTAAAGTTCAAAAGCATCTTATGACAATGATCAGAACAGGTCATTAAGAGCTGGCAGTGGTGTTAATAATAGTTAGGTGCAGTGTTGATTCAATCGTCAAGTGATTAAATGACTTTTTGCATGCAAAAGACTATCATTTTATCTTCTTTACAGCTGCCCTTAAATGTATTCAAGCTCCCAATGTATTGATCATCTTTAAGTTTTCAGACGATTTTTTTCAAGTTTGGATGAATGTATCTTACTGCTAGCCTATGCAGCTGTTTTCTCTATGAGACAAACTTCCACACTGTACTTGCAGAAAACAGTTAATTCACAAAAATACAAAGACTGATCCCCTAACCAAAAGTTGGGCTACAATATGATATATTTTGTAGCCTTGTAATTTTGCCTGAGCCTATATATATATATTGTAATATATGATCAGCCTTTTTGGGATACAGTCAAGTTACCTGGAGTGAAAACAACTGATAGACCTGTACTTTTCAGTATTGTATATATTACAAGGTGGGTTCCATGAAAGAGATGGTACCCCCTGTAATCTTTGATTTTAGGTCTTAAAGCACTGGAAGGGAGAATTCACAAACAAAAAGTGGACTCATAAAAAGAAACATTTTTTATTGCCTTTAACTTACTGATAATAATATGAAGGTTTAGATGACAAAAAACAAAAAAATTTAAGCTGTAAGCCTTGAACATGTAAAATGAGTTTTGGGCCACTAAACACTAGTTTTGACATCATAGACTGAAACTGCAATATTTTTACCTAACAATATTATTAATTTCCTGTGTCTTATTGCCACATACTTCCAACTGAGTTTGACAAGGAATTCTAGAAAGTAACAATTTTGTCAAATTACAGGAATAGTAAAATATGTGTAAGAGGGATCAGCAGCTTAATGCATAATTGTTTTTTTCTAAGGGTAAGGTTATTTTTGTTGTTATCTTAAAATTTGGGAATTTTCTTCTCATTGTGATAATTCTTTATGAAACCTTATTTCTCCTCGATAGTAACAACATTTTACTGGTGTATCTGCCTTAACTCTTAGAATTTGTGAAGAACATCAGAACTATTTTAGCTCAGATAAGTTTCAATCTTCATTTTTCAATTTATTGTGGTTAGTCCATGCTGTGAGCATGTTGATTGAATATCTCATTTCCTTAAGTCATAAACATAACATACCGGTAATTTAATTTTGTAGTGAGCCTCATAAATTATTACACACAGGTAGGTACAAGACAATCATGGAGGAACCATTCTAGACCCCTACATTTCCTGTGGTTACTTGATAAGGAGAATATATTTAACAGTATTTTATTAGTAAAACCCTTTTCACTTGCTTATCATTTTTATTTATTCCAATGACCATTGTTTGATGGTAAGAGAACTGGATGCCGGTCACTCTTGAAGTTCAGGATTTCCAGTCTTTCTAAAACAAGGCAGTTTGATATCCAAGTAATTGTCATGTCAGGTGGAGCCTCTCAACAAGTACTTACAGGCATTCTAGAGACTTTTTTCCAAAAATGGTAACATAGCGTACATATTTCTGGTAGTAATCTTTTCACTGTAAATTAATTAATGAACAACTTTCCCTTCTAAATCTGGTATGGTGTGGCTGAATCATCTTAAATCAAAAGATTACCATTGTTTCAAAACTTATTGTTCAGTTTCCCACTTTATAATATTTATTATCATTTTGGGGTTACAACAGAGAAACACCCGGCAATCAGTGTACCTTAACTTAAGTATGCAATCTTATAACATTTTCTTTTCTTGCAGATCCTCCAAGAATTCTTCCATTGCTGCCAGAAACAGAGGAGTGGACTGAAGGTGAAAAACGAGAGCTTGCTTGTCACACAGCTGGAAGACCAAAGCCTAAAGTAACATGGAAAAAAGGCGATCAAATTCTTAAACAGGAGAGAAAAGTAGCAGTGACGAAACTAGATTTTCCATCTGTTACCTGGAGAGATGCTGGGTCGTATGTTTGTCTGGCAGAGAATGCTGGTGGCAGATCACAAAAGCAAGTTGAAATCACTGTACTTTGTAAGTTCACTTTTTTGGAATTTTACAGCACTTCTTCCACCCTCAATAAACTTTCCCCTTGTCACACCCCATCACTGCTTAATTGATGCTCCCCTTATCATACAACTTTCACTCATATTGGACTCTCCCTGCAGCTGCAGCCTTTGCAATTTGGACCTTGTCAGACTGCGTTTACCCTCATTTACCTCCCTCTGTCCCATATGCACAGTGTTACTATATATCTCCAGCCACAATTAGAGTCCTCGCTGTCACACTTCTTTCACCTACATATGACTTCCCCCAAGCTGTACCCTGTGCTTTCTGCACTTAGCTTAGTTGTATTTGAGTATGGTGAGGTACATAAACTAGGATTTGAAGTATCATTCTGTTGAAGCATTGTGTCATCAATGTATTGCTTGCAGATGCACCTAAAGACACAAGCATCAAAACTGATGCACCACAGGACACCGTTAGTGATGGCTCTTACATTACCATCACTTGTGAAGCCCATGGAAATCCTCCCCCACAATATAAGTTTTACATTGAAGGTCAAAGTATAAATGACAGAAGCGCACAAAGGTCTGGGGAGTTAAGACTTACAACAGTGGGCTTTTCGCAAAGTGGAATTTACAGCTGTGAGCCTGAAAATGATATGGGAACAGGTCCCAGGAAGGACATCACAGTTTATGTCCGACGTGAGTAAAACTTTCTTTTTAAGGGTGAATGGTGTCTCTCTGTGTCTCGGCAGGATTTTCATCTGACTTACTACACTAAGTCATAAGATGACTCTGATTGAGTTGTGGGAGAAAAATTGTATCTTAACCCTTTAAGCCCCAATATCCACAAACAAATTCTCCAAACTGATCTCCATACATTTCCTTCATGAATGAGTTGAGAGAATTTGATAAAAGATCAAGGCATTTTCCCTTAGGTGATCATTTTATTAATTCTCATAACCTAATCTCTTGACATTGTATGGATATCGTTAGGAGAAAATTGATGTTAGTCACTAGGGTTATTATTGGAAATATTTGATCTAATTTAAAATCTCATATAACATGTTTGTGGTTTGGATCGAATCTCTAAGTCTCGTTTTCACTTGTATCTTATGCCTTTAACTGTTTGCTGACAAGTCTCAAATTTTCAAACATGGGTCTAATAATGGAGTAGCAGCTAATTTTCAGGTTTTTTTGCTCATTCACAATACTCAAAAAATAGCACAAAATAATCTAACTGCCATTTTGATTCTAATCTTTCATGTTAACTCCTTACTACTTTTATGCTAACAGATTCACCACAAATTGATCTTCGTCCTGAAAATCAAAAAGTTGATGAGAATGGACAAGTTAGTGCACGTTGTGAAGCCAAAGGCTTTCCATCACCTATAATTAAATGGGTGAAACTCCTTGGTAACAAACTGGTTCGTAATGGAACGTCATCATTGTTCATTCAAAATGTGCAGCGATCAGACCACGGATGGTACAGATGCATAGCTAGTAATGGTTTTGGTGATGATGCCATTGCAGAATTTGAAATCAATGTTTATTGTAAGTTAAACTGATAAAGTATGATATATCAGTTATTGTGCAGACACTTGAACCGTGAACACTTTTTTGAGCTTTTTTGGTGAATGCATTGTTTTTTTTTCATAGTAAAGTAAAAATTCTTTGTAGTGAACAAAAGGGAAATTGATCTGTTATAATGGAAACCATAGCAGAATTGGATCTCATTATTTTAAGCTATTTAGTTCCACTGATGAGCCTCCTATGTGGCTTGCAATACAATTCTTATGTTATTGTTATTGTTATTATTATTATTATTATTATGACATGTTGTGGGCTATACCCGTTACCAACAAAGTGTCTTGAAGTAGCTATATGTCACCAACAAACTATAAAGATTGGATTTCACCCAATAGCAGTATACATGTAATATGTAGTTAGAGTTTAGTTTGTATTTTAACCTGGGCATATCCCATATTTGCATGAGTGCCCTCTAGCCCAGCTGTTATCATAGCAGATTTTAGCATAGCAAGACCCATATTTCTTAACCCTCCCTTCCCTTGTATCCAGCTAAGTGTGGTTGTCTGACATTATTCCATTGCTTTTGACTGACTGTTGATCAACACAAACAATATCATCCTGATGCATTACTTTAATATAAGATGCCCCGAGGATTAACAGAACTGCATCAAGCCAAAATGTCCCTGCATGGTCAGGAAGTACAGCAGACCTATCATGTGTGGCTGATGGTAACCCTGCCCCTCGATACACTTGGACTAACAGCTCTGGCACTGTTGCTACTTCAGAAGTGAGTGGATTACTTCGGGTGACTCCTCAGGGAGCAGATGGATTTGGTCCTTACACATGTACAGTGGAGAATGACAAGGGAACTGATAGTCTGGCCATAAGCCTAGTGAAAGTTGGTAAGATTTAATAATAAGCTTCTATGTTTTATCGAGAGTGTTACTTCTAACCTGATCTTATGGCATTGCAGCTATGAATTAAAGGTCCTACAACTAAGTGCGAGACCCTTTGGTGACAGGGTCTTCGCTCATGTTGGCCCCGGTCTCACATTGTGAAACACTCCTCCTGCAGCGATGAAAATTAAGTATTTAGAAAGTTTAAGGTTTTATGGGCAGGGTATGAAGAATTTTATAATTCTTGTGGCATTTGGCCAATGAATCGTTTCATGCTACAATTTTGTTGTCAAGTGATTACATCATTTTATGACACCAATGATTTATTGATTTGTAAGGCAAAATTTATACCCATTACTTAAAGTTGAATTGTTCCCACTTGGAAAAGGAATGGATTTATACACTGAAATTCAACAATTTCTTATAACAGTGGATATGCTGACTAATATTTCTCTGTGTTTTTGTTTTTAGATCGGCCAGTGGTGGAGTTGAAATTTCAAGGCAGCTCTGATGATTCTATCTCCTTGACTTTGTCACTGTTATCAGATGAGAAAAGCAATGTCTTTTTACAGCACTATTTTTTGCAGTACCGGACAACGGACAGTAACAGCTGGATTAAAACAGTTCCTCGCATTCCTCCCCAAACAACTAGCTACCATCTAAGTGGTTTGAAACCATATACTGAATATGAGGTACGGCTGTATGCAAGGAATCAACACTTCACAAGTGATCCATCCTATGTTGTAGCAATGACTACTGCAGCAGGTAAGATATCCTAGGGTATTGTTTAGCTTAGGAGATACCAGGGGAAAGGGTGGGATTATGATGCTTATCCCTGGGAATGGGTGGATAAAGATGCATTATTATCACTACATGTGGTCAAATGACAAACTGCCCTCTCTAAAACGCTCCTCTTTGCTGGCCAAATGGCAAAGTGCGAGCGGTAAATGGAATTTGCAGCCTGCAACATGATTTCGTGTTGACGATCTTTCCTTATAAAACAAATTTGTACGATTTGGCCTTGTGAAATGATAACAATAACAATCACATGACTTTTGTTGGCAAAAGAATGTCAGAAGGTGAGGAAGTCTCAAGAAGCCATGAAGGCTTAAATAGGTGAGACTTCCTCTTTACATTAGATTTAGTTGTTACTATAGTTATTCATTAAATATATACTCATACAAATAATGTGACCCTCCACAGGATTTTGATGCCAAAGCTGAAAGCATGCTCACGACATGCTTCCACTTGGTGGAAGGTGATTAGCACACTGGTGATTAGCACACTGCACACTGAGCTTCAGATCAGAAAAACATTTGTTTGGACTCTTTTCTCTTAATTAATGTGTATGTGCATCCCATCAAAGGGAAGCTCAGGACATTATGTTCCATTCAGATCCTTGAATGAATGAATGAAGCTTTATTTAATCTCGTCAAAAGCCCCGATAATTAACGGGCCCGTAAAGCTGTTGTTGTTTACGTGCAAGATAGAGGTTTCAATAGTTTTGCATCTAACATGATGAAACTATCAGTTAATGCAACAAAATCGAGTAGTTTGCTTGCCAGGACCTGCGCTCTTATTCTTTATATTTCGATTTGAATATTTGATTTCGGGCCCTAAAAGTTACCAGGACTTTCGAGAAATGGGCCCTTGGCCTAATTGGTGATTATATGTTCTACACTTTATACCAATGATTTATTGTCCAGTTGTTGCCATTTTTTCAATAGAACCAAGTCCTCCGCAAAATGTTCAGGTGTACCCAATTAACGGCACANCCCTTAAGTGGCATGAATGGGGTATGGTGATTAGCACACTGCACACTGAGCTTCAGATCAGAAAAACATTTGTTTGGACTCTTTTCTCTTAATTAATGTGTATGTGCATACCATCAAAGGGAAGCTCAGGACATTATGTTCCATTCAGATCCTTGAATGAATGAATGAAGCTTTATTTAATCTCGTCAAAAGCCCCGATAATTAACGGGCCCGTAAAGCTGTTGTTGTTTACGTGCAAGATAGAGGTTTCAATAGTTTTGCATCTAACATGATGAAACTATCAGTTAATGCAACAAAATCGAGTAGTTTGCTTGCCAGGACCTGCGCTCTTATTCTTTATATTTCGATTTGAATATTTGATTTCGGGCCCTAAAAGTTACCAGGACTTTCGAGAAATGGGCCCTTGGCCTAATTGGTGATTATATGTTCTACACTTTATACCAATGATTTATTGTCCAGTTGTTGCCATTTTTTCAATAGAACCAAGTCCTCCGCAAAATGTTCAGGTGTACCCAATTAACGGCACAACCATGCATGTAAAGTGGGATCCGCCACAGTACCCTAATGGACCACTGGAATTATACAGTGTGTTGTATTCTGAGTCAGACAGCTACGTTGGCGATGATTTAATGATGATGATTGTGACAGTTATGCCCAATGTTACGGAAGCTTTCATTGGTGGGCTGACCCCATTTACAAACTACACCATCAAAGTCAAAGTAGAAAACACTGTTGCATTTGGAAGCAGTAAGCCACTTTATATTCTAACAGAGACAGCAGGTAAATCTGACCTTTAAATGATTACCTGATTACAGGAAATTAATGCATCATGACAATTTCTTTGTTTGATGCTTTTTGTACATTTTGGGAAAGTACAACAAACAAAGTTTTTATTTTGTAATAATTTTCTTCATTTTGAAATTGTTACCTTCTCTTTCGCAAGAATTATTTCCTTCATTCGAATGCTGTTTTCCACTAAATTCGCATTAATTTAAGTTGTGTTGATTTCCAATACCTTAATTTCATGGAGCATTAATTTCCTATAATAAGTAATGGTAAACAGGACTGAGTGGAGTCCAGTTTGGTCTGTAATCATGCGAGTGATTAACAAAATCACGGGAGTGCGATCTGTTTAATCTTGAGTATGATTGCAGACTAAATTGGTCAACACGAAGTTCTGTTACCATTTAATCATAACTTTAACAAAATTTATGATATATAAGGCTCTTTTTTAAATCAAAACACAAGAAATTCCAAGAGTTTTTTTTGCTAGCAGAGAAAAAAAAAACATTTAAATGCATACAGGATGGTGTGTACTGCCCAATTACTTTGGCATTTATGACATGTATTGTCCCATTAAACTGTTCTATTAAGGCTGAAATCAAGGCAGTTGATAGCCAATCAGATTTGAGAATTTTGTCATAGTTCTGATTAGGAAAGAAATGTAATTAAGAACTGATCAATTGTTTAACACCCAACATGATGAACAAAAAAGAGAAATCTTCTTACTGCCCTTGAGAAGGTTATAAGGCATTGTGGCTTTTTTGTGACCTACTCAAGTGCTCTGTTGAAGAGTTTTACAAGCTTATAATTATTCTAGCTAAGATGAAATACCCTGTTATGTTTGTGACCAAGCCTGCAATGGCTTAGAAAAAAAACAGATGTCCAAAACAGATGACAGGTACATACTAACTTGCAAAGGCCCTACACAACTCTGTGGTGTTGACAGGTATGATGTTAATAGTTATTTTCATGTATGATCTGTTTCAGCTCCTAGTAAACCACTCGATAATGAGGCTAACAGCACTGGTCCTCACAGTGTGCGACTAAAGTGGAAGAAACCAAAGGACCTTAATGGTGTAGTGGTACTCTTTAAAATCAGGATGCTTTGGAGATTCAAGAATGTAAAGGGAGAGTATAAAAGAACCGAACTTACAGTTCCTGCCAAAGTGACTAGAAGGGCAAGAAAACGGAGATCTGCCAATGGAAGACCTGGCTATACAGTTTTGCAGCTGGAACCTGAGAGAGAAATTGAGCTTCGAAATATACAGCCATTTGCTATTATTTCAATAAGGGTGGCTGAAGGAACCAGGGATGCTCAAAATAACGTTTTGTGGGGTCCATTTTCAAACAATCAAACTGTTGAGACTGAAGAAGGAGGTGAGATCTGGCTTTAAGTACTGACCCTCCTAGATTTACAGTCAAGATGGCGTTACATGAAATTAAGGCACAGTAATGCTGTGCACAGTTCTTACTGACCGATGAAAATGAAATCCTTAGATGTTGCCAACCTTTTAAATGAGGGCTACTGAGAGGGACCTTACCTGTGGGGTGATTATTATAAATTATTGGACAATCACAACCATTTGTTAGTTGATGATAATGACCAAGAAAAGAAAGGAAAAAAAAGACATCTCATAGTTATATAGGAATAGCTCCCAGGAGTGAAAGGCAAAAGCATATGATTCATTGACATACTTTAAATCTCTGCCAGTTTCTCTGCTCTTTATTAACCTATTTCTGATTGGATGTTACCTTGCCAGCTCCCAGTGCACCACGTAATGTTGCAGTCACCGACAAAAAGCCAACATCTGTAAAAGTCACCTGGCTGCCACCTGAATTCCCCAATGGAATTATTACAAAATACAGGTTCCTGTACTCCAACAATACTGGAAAAAACTATACAGTAGAGGTTACTAAAGGATTAAAGAATTCATCCTTATTTTATGTTATCACTGGACTCAAGAAGGATACAGACTATTTAATATATGTGAGTGTTTTAATTTGACAGTTAAATTAGTAAGACTCATATTAATTATTACAATATTGCTCTCTGATGTTGTGTTTCACCCCCTGATGACATGGATATGGTTTTCCATATGTTTGCTTTAACATGTGGCTGACAGGTTTTTAGACCAGTCTCGTTCCTCAGTTCAGAAATTCATATATTCATCAGTTCATAAGATCTGTGTGTTACATATATTAAATCTTAACTAAGGACAAAGGAGTCCCAGTCACCATCTAAAATGTGTTAAGACCTAGAGGGATATTGCTAAAACAGAGAGTTATAAGCTATAAACGAAAAACATATATATTTTTTAAGCTGTCAAGATAGTTAACCTGCAATAACATTGAGGCTTGAATACTGGATAGTTGGAAAATGAAGCTTGCTGATCTTGTCTCTCTTACATTGCTGTACTTTGTTCACCATGTCTCTGCCAGGTTCAAGCATTCACCAGCAATTATCCTGGAAAGGTCAGTTCTCCAGTGTCAAGGATTGAGACCACAAAAACACCAGGTAAATAATCAATCAATCATTCAAATAAACAAATAAATAGATTGAGGGCCACATATTAAGATCCTGAAATAACCAGTTGCTTGATGAGCCCATGGCCAATCTGAAAATGTATGGCAATAGGGCATAACCCTGCAGCAGGACAAAAACAAGGGACAAACTTCCATTGGATATTAGGCAGTCATCATTGGTAACTGTATTTGAAACTAAGCTCAAGACTTATCTTTTTAAGGATGGCTGTTCGATTTGAAATTTTTAAAAAGTTTTATCCTTTGCCTGAAAAATATGGTACTTGATTTATTGTTTAGATAATGTAGTTTTATTAGTTATATATTAGACAATAAGTGGAGTATGGCACTCTATAGATGCATTTAATTTTAATTTTAATATCTTTAAGTGCATAATAATTAAATGCATTACAGGGCTTAAAATAATTTCTGGATAGTCTCCAGACACCCTGACACATATCGTTTCTGGCCGGTCAAATTTATAAGATAAATAACTCTTAAAACAGGTGTTATGTAATTCCAAAAAGTCATTGCTTAGAGCTTATAGCACGTATTGTCAACAGTAAATATAAGGTATTACAGCCGCGAAGTGAATTGTAAACAATGGTTCTCGTTGCATTTCACCTGGGATTTCAGATCAAAGTTCTGCAATACACAGTGACTTGCTTCATACTGATAACAACTGAAAAAACTGAACAGCATGAAAATTTAAATTTATGTCATTTTCAATACAATCAAATGAGACCGGTCACCATGTACGGCAAGACGAAAGTTTGACCAGTCAACTTCCCAATCAATCTGGACATAATTGTCCATTGACCAGCCGTTATTTCGAGCCCTGCATCATAATTGACCCTTGTTTAATGGATTATAATATTATCATTTTGGCTTTGTTTTAGGAGACATAGCAGGACGTAGCAGTGTTGATAATAGCTCTCTTTATGGCGGAGTCTTTGCTGGGATAATTGTTTTGGCATTTGTGATTATCATTGTTGTGTTAGTGATAAGGTAGGTATATAGTAATTTACACATAATAATTGCTCGTGCAACGCAAGAGGAAACAGTGTAGTGAGAAAAATGATACATAAAACTGGACTTCAAGAATTTTTCTGTTTTACTGATCTTTTGATTGTTTGTGTGTCTGCTTTTCTTCTGTCTATGTGCAGGGTGTCAGTCTGTAAATTTCTAACCCTGATAAATATCTGATTTCTCCCTTCCTGATCGTCTTGACCTAACGTAAAGGTCACCACCAACCAAATGTTTTGATTTTTAAACAGATTATTTAATCCGCATCATATAACTGTTTTATAGTAAATAAAAAGAACAATTTTTAAGAACGTACAAAGTATTCAAAGGGGACAGTTTACGAAGATTTGTGGCTCCTTCAAATATCCAAATGCAGTAACTTTCATTGGGAGGATATGCTTAAAGTGCACACAATATTCTGCAATATTTTTATTTTCAGCTCCATTAAATTCTGTGCTTTTTCTACCTTAAGGTTCAAAGGGTTATGTAGATATGAATCCACTTTCATGATAGAGATTGTCATTAATGTATATGCAGATTTGAATGTTTATGTAACGTAATGCTACTTAAATAAGTAGGTGTGGTCACAGTGAGACATTAATCTTACATGGTCTGAAGATTAAATACATTTCAAAACTGAAATATCTCTTACCCCTTTGACAGAAAACACAGAAGACGGCATGATTCTACAGAACTTGACGGCAAGGGATATACTGTTGCCAATTCTAATGATAGTGGTATTGGAGACAAAGAGTCATTGGACCGTGTCCCTGGAGTTAAATATTTACAAGGTGTACGACGAGGATCTGAAGGTTCGGAGTCATGGGTTTAGTTAGTATGGACTGAGCACCTTGGTATCTTGGTTCTAAAAATTTTGCACCACACAGCCCTCCTCATGGTTGTCTAAATTTGTAGTCTTAGCCTTAAACGAAAAACTGTCACCACAGCTACAAATAAATTTAAAGAGCACTGTAAGATGAAGAAATCCACTAATCTGGGGCCTCTTCTAAAAAAATCAATGACCTGCTGGTCTGCTTCCAAACAAGATTTGTTCACCTAAATTACGAGAATTCATTATTTAAAGGCACTCTTTTTTAGTATTTTTTTTCTGTTTGATCTCCAGTTAAAAATTTTGAAATTCCATGAGGTGGCTTAATGATAAACTAATAACTATGTGTTATTTTTACGGTGTGTGGGAGTCAGTTAAAAAAACTTAAACTTAAAATTCAAGGCTTGAACTGGTATCCAAGATTAGCCATTTATTAAATAAACCACTGGAACCTAAGAAAAATTCAAGTGGTGTGTTAAAAATATTGAAGAAACTTATATAAATGTAAGAAAATATAATGTGCAAACAAAAAAAATTCAAATTATTTTAGAGTTTTTAATATTTATTAATATTTAAAGTCTGAGAAAGACAAAAATTCCAAAGAAATTAGACATTAGACTATTGTACATGCATTTACATATGCTGCTTTTCTGTGTATATAAATAATATTATATTTAAACTGCTTGAATGAACAAGCAGCTATGCTCAGGATATGACACCAGTAAGTTTAGTCCTTTGTGCAAACCATTTACTGAGTCAGTGGTGAATGAAGAATTAGTAAAATGAGCCATCAGCTGCAGTAATTACAGTGAAACTAGAAAAGCTGTGAATTTAGCTGTGACCCAGTTATTAACGTGCAAGACATTTTAATGCAACAAAATGCAAAGTTCTAAAAAAAGAATAAATAAACGTTGATGGTGAAACTTGCTAGCCTGGGGGGTATGGAGGTGGGAAGGGAAACACAAGATTTTTTCCTTCTCTTCTTCCCTCCTGTTCTTCTTCTTCTGTTCTTCCTCCTCCTAGCTCACAGTCTACTTGTTGTGCAGCTGCACAGCAAAATTTCCAACTTAAATAAAATTGCACCAAACGTTGCATAGCTAGCACAAAAGCACCTTAACTGAAGTGAGTTTTATCACTTAAAGCACCAGAAACGTTCTAGATATAAATAATCTTTGTATTCACAGTTTCTCTGGGATTATTGTTAACACAATGTACTATATGTAGAGTTCTTTAGGATTTTTTAACAAAATGTGACGCAAATTTGTTTTGGCTCTTTAGACCTTTTTGAAAATTACTCATTTAAGGCATTATACTGAACAATAAGAATATCTTGTTGAGCTTGCAAACTAGCTACTAGTATTGGAACAAAATTGAAATAAACAGCCAACTGTTGCAAATCACATTTTCTATGGAAACAAACTGCAAAAATATTTGCAGTGGTAACAAATTAAATTATAATAAAATCATTGTAGACAATTTTTGGTGTAGTAGTTAAAGAGCACCATAATGTCGAATAGACAATAAAAGACTGGTCATAATATTTTAAGTACAAAGTTTTAAAATTGCCATTGTTACATAACATTTTTTTAAGTTGATTTTCATTCCCATTATTACTATTTTTATGGATCAATATGGTGTTTATTTACCTTATTTATGTCTTTTCAAAATTACTGTTTTGTTTTCTACTTTTTTGATAACCATTAATTGGTGGCTTGGAAATTGTAATTTTCAATTTGTTGAGGTATTTGGTATTTTTTTGGTTTTGAAGTAACAAAAATGTTCAGTTCTATCATTGTATTTACATATATTTACATAAACTCTGAACAAACTTTAAAATTTTGGCTTGGGTTCGCCACTCAATCTGGACGGGAAAACACTAACTAATTTTTAATTATCTTTTTCCTTTAAAATTGTTTTATCGTCACTCATATTTTCTTTTTTTGCTTCATCACAAACTATTCTTGATGTTTTTTACAATTTTTTATTTGTCTTGTTTCCTCAACTCCTTTAGGGTTTAAGTTTCCTTCGGTTTAATTTTTTTTTTACGCTTGTATATTGATTTTTTGGTCGTTGTTTCAACATGCAATTAAAGTTATTTTTCTTGATCTAGAAGTCTACTTTGTTTAGGTTTTGGCTTTGCAGAAAAATGAAAAGTTTTTTCTAGTTTTGTAAGAAATCTAACATTAAGTTGTTATTTTGTATTTAACTCAAATACTCAACGTCCATTAACCTTGAAGCTGTAAATATGAATAATATTCTTCTTGAGTATTTCCAGAAGTAATTTATGGCTGTGAATAAAAAATAAACCTGAGATTTATATGATATGAAACGTCAGGTGAGATGCCTGAATTAATGACTAAATCGAAATAAACTTGCAGTTTTTCACCTCCATTGGTCAAAATTTTAATAAGTGTTTGAAAAAATAAAAACAATTTGACTTGTGTTTGAAAACTTTCTCGTTTGTCACAACGTGAATGCTGACCAGGGTGTAATCATTTGGAGTGCTCCAGCTGGCTTCCACGAGTTGCTGCAATTTGTTTTGTTACATATGAAATGAGTTTTATTATGCGAGATTTTCTAAGGTGAATCGCTTTCTGTAAATGAAATTTCCAAAAGCTGACGTGTTGAGCGATAGCCCTTGGTCAAAAGTTTTCAAAGACAAGGCGAATTATTTCACAGCAGCACCATGAATCAAGTTCCTCTCATCAAGTGTTGTTTATATGTGCCATATTTTAAGCGCACATCTTTTAAGTTGGCACCGCTAGGAAATAAATATTAATAACTTCCCAGATCTAACGTTTAAGATTTAAATAAACCTTTTAGCACGATATTGTCAACAAACACGCTGTGCTTTGGAGTATAAACTGCCAAGAACTTCTGAAGACGGGAAACCCTTTACAATGAGCTCTGCAGGTGATTGCATGGCAAACGACTAATAGTAATCGACAGTTAATGAGTAAGCTGACATTAGCCAGGTCCTTGTTTTCCCTACAAAACTCTTGTAAACACCTAATTCTTAATAAACCAAGGTAAGTCCTAAAATTTTCCTTAACAAAAAAAGTCAACACCCTTGAAAACAACTGAATTTCTCGATAATGTGCTCCCAACTAAGTTTAATTCCAACTTTTTTAGCGTAGAGGTTTAA